TGGACACCTTTGGCCACCCCTGGCGACCTTTGGACCCCCCCTGGGCACACCCTGGACACCCCCTGGACACTTTTGGAACCCCTTTGGCCACCCTTGAACCCCTCTGGACACCTTTGAACCCCCCCAGGACCCCCCCCCCCAAATCTGACCAGGGCGAGGCGCAGGGGGTTGGCCGGGGGGCTGCAGGGCACGGGGGGGGTGCCCAGCTCCAGGCTCAGGGGGTACAGGAGCCACTTCCCGTTGGGCAACTCCAGCGGCCACTGCACGGTGAGAGCGGCCGAGCCGGGGGTCTTGAGCACCGGGCCCCGCTGAGACACCTGGGGGGGGGGACAGAAACGGGGACCCCAAAGTGTCAGGGACGGGGGAGGGCAGTGCCGAGCCCAAAAACAGCAGCTGGGGCCAAAAATAGCCCCGAGCCCAAAAATAGCCCTGACCCCAAAAACAGCACAAACCCCAAAAACTGCACAGACCCCAAAAACTGCACAGACCCCAAAAACTGCACAAACTCCAAAAATAGCACCGACCCCAAAAACAGCACAGACCCCAAAAACTGCACAAACCCCAAAAACAGAACAAACCCCAAAAACAGAACAAACCCCAAAAACTGCACAGACCCCAAAAACAGCCCCGACCCCAAAAACTGCACAAACCCCAACAACAGAACAAACCCCAAAAACAGAACAAACTCCAAAAATAGCCCTGATCCCAAAACCAGCCCTGATCCCAAAGACAGCCCCGACCCCAAAAACAGCCATGACCCCAAAAATAGCCCTGACCCCAAAAACTGCACAAACCCCAAAAACTGCACAGACCCCAAAAACTGCACAGACCCCAAAAACTGCACAAACTCCAAAAATAGCACCGACCCCAAAAACTGCCCCGACCCCAAAAATAGCACCGACCCCAAAAACAGCTCTGATCCCAAAAACTGCACAAACCCCAAAAACTGCACAAACTCCAAAAATAGCACCGACCCCAAAAACTGCACAAACCCCAAAAACAGCACCGACCCCAAAAACAGCACCTGATCCCAAAACCAGCACCTGGGGTCTCTGTTTCGGGGTCCCTGTTCTGGGGTCCCTGTTTTGGGGTCCCTATTTTGGGGTCCCTGTTTTGGGGTCCCTGTTTGGGGTCTCCGTTTTGGGGTCCCCGTTTTGGGGTCCCTGTTTTGGGGTCTCTGTTTTGGGGTCCCTGTTTGGGGGTCTCCGTTTGGGGGTCTCCGTTTTGGGGTCTCCGTTTTGGGGTCTCCGTTTTGGGGTCCTTGTTTTGGGGTCCCTGGTTTGGGGTCTCCGTTTGGGGGTCTCTGTTTTGGGGTCTCCGTTTTGGGGTCTCCGTTTTGGGGTCTCCGTTTTGGGGTCTCCGTTTTGGGGTCTCTCTCACCGTGACCTCGAAGCGGACGGCGCTGCCCACCTGGCTCTCCCTCTTCACGGCGCTCTCCCCCCTCACCTGCCCCCCAAAAAACAGCCGGGGTGGGAGAGCCACGCTGTGGGGACAGGGCTGGGGTCNCCCTTGGACACCTTTGGCCACCCCTGAACCCCTCTGGGCACTCTCTGGCCACTCTTTAACTCCTTTGGACACCCCTGGACAGCACCCCAAGCACCCCTGGCCACCCCAGGACACCTTTGGCCACCCCTGGCCACCCCAGGACACCCCTGGACACCTTTGGACCCCCCTGGGCACCCCCTGGACACCTTTGGCCACCCCAGGACACCCCTGGACCCCCCTGGACACCTTTGGCCACCCCTGGACCCCTCTGGACACCTTTGGACCCCCCTGGGCACCCCTTGGACACCTTTGGCCACCCCTGGCGACCTTTGGACCCCCCCTGGGCACACCCTGGACACCCCCTGGACACTTTTGGAACCCCTTTGGCCACCCTTGAACCCCTCTGGACACCTTTGAACCCCCCCAGGACCCCCCCCCCCAAATCTGACCAGGGCGAGGCGCAGGGGGTTGGCCGGGGGGCTGCAGGGCACGGGGGGGGTGCCCAGCTCCAGGCTCAGGGGGTACAGGAGCCACTTCCCGTTGGGCAACTCCAGCGGCCACTGCACGGTGAGAGCGGCCGAGCCGGGGGTCTTGAGCACCGGGCCCCGCTGAGACACCTGGGGGGGACAGAAACGGGGACCCCAAAGTGTCAGGGACGGGGGAGGGCAGTGCCGAGCCCAAAAACAGCAGCTGGGGCCAAAAATAGCCCTGAGCCCAAAAATAGCATCGACCCCAAAAAGTGCACAGACCCCAAAAACAGAACAAACCCCAAAAACTGCACAAACTCCAAAAACAGCACAGACCCCAAAAACTGCACAAACCCCAAAAACAGAACAAACCCCAAAAACAGCTCTGATCCCAAAAACAGCCATGACCCCAAAAACAGCACAAACTCCAAAAATAGCACAAACCCCAAAAATAGCCCTGATCCCAAAACCAGCCCTGATCCCAAAGACAGCCCCGACCCCAAAAACAGCCATGACCCCAAAAACAGCACCGACCCCAAAACCAGCACCTGGGGTCTCCGTTTTGGGGTCTCCGTTTTGGGGTCTCCGTTTGGGGGTCCCTGTTTGGGGGTCTCCGTTTTGGGGTCTCTGTTTTGGGGTCTCCGTTTGGGGTCTCCGTTTTGGGGTCCCTGTTTGGGGGTCTCTGGTTTGGGGTCCCTGGTTTGGGGTCTCCGTTTTGGGGTCTCCGTTTGGGGTCTCCGTTTTGGGGTCTCCGTTTTGGGGTCTCTGTTTGGGGTCCCTGTTTGGGGTCCTTGTTTTGGGGTCTCTGGTTTGGGGTCCCTGGTTTGGGGTCTCCGTTTTGGGGTCCCCGTTTTGGGGTCCCCGTTTTGGGGTCTCCGTTTTGGGGTCTCTGTTTGGGGGTCCCTGTTTTGGGGTCTCCGTTTTGGGGTCTCCGTTTTGGGGTCTCTGTTTTGGGGTCTCTGTTTTGGGGTCCCTGTTTTGGGGTCTCCGTTTTGGGGTCTCCGTTTTGGGGTCTCTCTCACCGTGACCTCGAAGCGGACGGCGCTGCCCACCTGGCTCTCCCTCTTCACGGCGCTCTCCCCCCTCACCTGCCCCCCAAAAAACAGCCGGGGTGGGAGAGCCACGCTGTGGGGACAGGGCTGGGGTCAGGGGGGATCCCCGGGGGGTCCCGGCCCCAAATCCCCCCACACACACCTCAAAATCCCC